CCCAATTAATTTTTAGTAGGTACACTTTGAATTAATTTACGAAACTCAAAGCATTTTTAATTCAAAATATAATGTTCTATAATAATCTTGTTAGTCATAAATGTATCCATTTGTTTAATATTTCCCATCGAGCAAATCTAGCGTGTGAATAGCTTTCCCCGTTTTCGAGTAAACGGTTCGCGGATTGACTTGACTTAACAACTTGTTTTCCGTGTCGGCGTAAATCAAATGCCACTTTGTTGTGCTGCCCATTCCATTCCGCCTGTGGGGGGAAAGTCAATCAAAATATTATTGTATATCGTACAAATGGAAACCGTCGACGAAGCCGTCACTCTTTGCTCTCACGCACACACACTCGCGACTTCTGTTGCACTGAAAGGGATCACAATGAGCAGCACCGCCCGCAAGGCACCACCCACCGCCCATTCACCCACCAATAACGCAACCATAACCCACCACCCACCGTGTTCGACGCCCCTCGGATGTGCCATATAAATGAGCTGCAAATGCCGAGTGTGTGTACTATGGAGCTGATGTTTTTCATGGCTTGTTTACAATTAATTAGGATTGTTATGCCGCCATTCGATTCAATAATTTCTTTGTGCTAGGCGGTATTTTTTAACAGCCAGTCATAAATTTGCGGTCTTGTTCTGGTAGCGAGCATTAAAAACGAATCAGTAAGCATTTATGGCCCCACGTCATTCTGAAGTCTTTGCCATTGATTTTCACTTCACCCGAGCAGTTATTTTCCTTATGTGCTAATAATGTTTTATTAATTACTTGGGCGTAAAAGGAAATGCAGAAATTATTGCTGAAATCCTTGCTGGTGAAGTCGTTTGTGCAAACAAAAGTTGCACTTTATTTCTGGAGCAGAATTCGTTTAAAATGTGTTTATTTTAATAGATTGTACCGTATACAATATATTACAGATTTCAAGTATTTTGACTTTGTTTGCTTAGCTGCATTAATTTTTTTTTTTTAAAGAAGCTGATCAACAAAATCAAATACTAAATATATGCAGAATTCGGAATAACCGGTTGCCGGCAAACTTTCTGGGCGTTCGTTAATTTGTTTATTAATTTGCAAAACCATTGATGGTAGACCGAGATAAACCAGAATCGTAGACTCGCCCTTGGTTTTTTCTTTGTCACGTTCGGTAAATGGTTTTTTACCGAATTCCAAGAAATCGATACCCGCATTTATGTAAACCTGATATGGACAGCATTAAAATAAGCTTGCCATAAAAAATGCATTGGATGACAGTTTTAGACTTTAAACCCTTTGTTTATGTGTCAAGCGTCATAATTATAGCTGGTGTCAACTTTTTTCACTTTATTCGAATATGAGCTATTTGATTTGGCGACAGGGTCACACGCCTCAAAAACACTCTGTTAAAAATATAAAAATCAAATAAAAAGAATATGTATGAACAACCGAAAGCTCGTGCCATTTGATGAGCTGATTTCGGTGTTTTGTTAAGAATTATTTACTTTGCTCGGGAGTTTGCTGTTCTACATCAAAAGCTTTTAAAAATGTATTATAACGAATTCCTGATTGTATCAGAAAACTAGTTTTGAAATTAGGTATTGTGTTTTTGCTTTTGATCTGATTTGGGTTTTCGGGGAGTGTCTTAAAAATGGTAAATGATTCAAATTATTATTATTACATTTCGCAGCGTATATTATGTACTAAAGCGCTTATAAAAAAGGTATTTATATCTTTCGAGTGCTTAAAACGAATTTACTGCCCTATCTTATTTTCCTGAATACAGAGCAAGTGATTCAGCAATATCTGCGTCGCCTGGGAAGAGACGAATTGGCGATTGAATTGCAGTTTAGCTGGTGCTTAGGCAATCCAAGCATATTGAGCTTGTTCTTCCTGTCAGACCCGATCAAATTTGCTTTTATGAGTACACTCCCTCGAGTAACTACGTGCGAAATGCGCAAAACAATGCCAATTCCATCGCAGGAACAACACCCACAGCCAAGAAACCGGATCCTGAGTAAAAGGAGCAAAAGGTAAGGGATTGTACTCGGCAAATATATGAAGCGGAGGCGACGAGCCTGGGCGAAAAGTCAAACATATCAAATCGTAGCCACATTCCACCACATCCCCAGCAGAGTTCCCGAGTGGAAGCATCAATCCGTACGTGCCAAGTGGATCCGCCAACAGAGGCATCCTGTCTTCATCAAGGGGATTTTATGGGGAATGGGCGGGTTCGCTCTCAGTGAAGAGAAGTATCAAACGCACTGCCCGATATGTTTGGCATTCCATAAGCGATTGCATTAGGGTGAACCAAAAAAAAACACTTGTTCTGCAAGAAAAAAAACATGTTTTAAAATATTTATAATAATATGAAAAAGTGGGGTACGGATAACATTAAGAGTAATGTGAATATAATTTACGAGATGCAAAATATAGAATTTTTATGTAGATTTTTTTTAAACACAAAAGGTATTTGAGGGTATAAATCCAAGCATTACCAAATTTTATTTGAAAAGCTTAACAAGTATAGTTTATTTACTTAAGTTTGTTTTAAAAATTAATGATAATCAACAGACCCTCACCCTACTAAGCCAGAGTGAGTTTTTTCCAGTAGATTCAGTTGTTTCGAATTTTTAAAGCCACTCCTACGGCCACGCACTCTTCTGTATCCTATATCCTGAATCCTCTTAATTGCAGCATGTGCGCCTCGCTTGGCAGGCTCCTAATTAATAGAGTGTTATGCAAACCAATCAGCGGGGTTAAGTGGTTGGGGCAACGCCGGTTTCGCAGCTTATAAATTCCATTCAATTTTTCAAGCGATACGAAGCGGGACGCTTGAATCGATGGCCGCGGAAAGTAGGCAACAGTATTTTACGGCTTAATTGCTCCAGCACGCCCACCTCACATGCGTGTGTTGCTTGGCGAGTGTGTGTGTGTGTGTGTGTGATGGCTTAGTGGAATCTGGCACATCGTCCATTTGAATTGCTAACATCGCTCAGCTCATACATATAAATGAAATTGAGAGTTTATTGCACAGTCACTGGGATCGGCTTGGCTTTATTTCTCCGACGTCGCCTCTCCGCAGAATTGCTTATTTATTTCAAATTTATGCGTTATGACGGCCCTGCCGCCTGAAAGCGACACACACTGCGTATGCGTGATATGAACAAAGACCTATCGGGTAAATTTAAAATGGTAGCCGAAAAGGCTTTTAGGCTTGCCCGTAAATTGAATGCTGCAATTGCCTTCAGACTACTATCCATCCAGACAAGTGATAGTAAATTTGCACAAAATGAAACCCACTCAAATTTATTGTGCGGTTGCCAAAGTAATGGTTATCTCCGAGTTTTTGTTTCTATATGTGGTACGTCCATTGCTATTTTTGCAACGGACATAAAAATGATGAAGTTCATCGAAACTATTTGACAGCCTTTGACTTTTATGTCGCATAAGTGATGGCCTCCCATTGATGGGAAAAGGGTCCCGACCCAGACACACACATACACACACACACATATGCACATATACACCCACAGACATAGAAAGTCGTTTCAGTCGCCGGCTATAAAAAGTGGATCGGCTGGGCGTGTGTAACGGATTAGAATCTTGTATCTGGCATTAAGGAGTTGACAATATTGTCTAAATACCAAGTGGAAAGCATAAAGCAAGTTTGCTTCTCCTTCAATTTAGCGGAAGGAAATCGGTCTACGTAAACACTATTAATTCTTTTTTATGTTTTTAGCCATTAATCTTTGTTATTTTAGATTTGTTGTAGTTAATTTGAAACCTTTTGTTTTGTTTTGTACGTATGTAAATCCGCATGTTGCTAATCAAAATAAAAATATGACGTAGTGCAATCATGTTTATCATTAAATTTATTCAGTAGAGCATAAAGTATAAAATCTATGAAAACTGATTGGCAAATTCATAATAAAGCCAGCGTCGAAAAAACAGTTTTATTAGATGTGCTTTGCAGTCGTATAGGTTTTACTGATTTTTCATTTGATACATTTTACACAACAGTTTTTTATAGAACTCTTTGCAATTTCAGCTTGTGCTCTTTTTGGATACAGTGCTAAAGTTCTTGGTAAAATCTGGCATTATAAACGATTTTGAACCCGTAGAAGCAAAGTGTCCAATTTGTGGTCCAAATAACGATGTGTTGTTGCATAACCCTTTTTGCCGTAGTAATATTTTTCCAGCTAATTGTGAAGTAAGCCCCAACTAGTGCTTACCTAAGTGCAACCAAAAATGAACATTAATTCCGAAACTTTTGCACAAATTAAGCAAAGTTTTTGTGGTTGCAGTTATTCATGGCAGCCACATCTTGGCAACATATGCTGCACTTTATGAATTAAAAGCGATTCATTTCTCTCTGCACATACGCAAATTCCTCTTGACTAATTGCATTCGCTGGAATTAAAACTAAATTGGCTGGGACACCCAATTATGGCTTGGCAATTAGTCCCAAATCTACTTGCACGAACTCAGCAATTCGCAGCGAATATTGGCCAAATCGCGAGACTTGTTTTCATCGTCTAGACTCCAGACCGAATAGCGAATTTGTGCGCCAGATAAAGATCTTAATGGCCCGGGATTATGATGCAGTGCGTCTCTGTCCTAGCCGCTTTTTACTGACTGTCATTAGCCAGTCGCCCGTTGAACCCTCCGATTTGATAAGCCCCCACTTAATCCACAGTCATTATAAAATGATATATGTGGGCACCGACTATTTAATGCGGGCTAAAATATATATCTTGAAGATAAATTGTTTAGATGTATTTTAAACTATATTCAAAAGGAAAGAGGAATAATATACTCATTAGGACTAAACTGACTTCAAATAATAAATAAGAGCAAAAACGAATTTAAATTATTTAAATTAATGCTTGTTAACTATCAATCTAATTTGCTTCTACTATTAGGTGCAAATGCAAATAAAACTTACTTTGAAACACAGTAGAATCCATTTCAAGAACAAAACAGCATAGATCTTTTGCGATGAGGTTAAACTGCGTAGTTTATTGCGGTTGAACGCTATTTGATTACACGTAGGAGTATAACTAGAATTCGAACTATAGCATCGGGCTATACGAGTATATATTTCAACGAGGACAACTAATTGACCCCAAAAGTGGAATATTTGTCTAGAGTAAAACACAAACAAGCTGGAGAGGCGCTTGCTGCTCGTATCACAGTTGTGTGTGTGTCTATAGTTGGCACTGGAATGGACTCCGGGGTTTATCTATTCCCCCCTCCCCTCCCCTCGTAACCACCTTTTTAAAAGGCGGTCCGCTCGCCGGAGTCGTCGCCACCCCCCGCCGCCCCCTTCGCCTGCGGTTTGTGACTGCCTTTGCGTCTGGCACGCCAATTGAATTTGGCCCTGATACCCTTGAGGGCGCTTGAGCTCTTCAGCGTTTTCACTTTCGCCTTGCGCACTTTGCCACTCGAATCTTCGCCACAAACGCCTCCTGACACGCCCCCTGCCCCCGCCCCTGATCCCTGCCCCGGTGGGCGGGTGATTCGCGTGAGCTTGAGGCGGGACCGCGAGATGGCCAAGTCATCGGTGAGCTCGTCAATGGAGCACATGGTGGGCTGTCGCTGCAGCGGCTCTGCAGGATATGGCAGCTCCTCCTCGAGCAGCGAGTGGGCATCCCCCACCGATGACAGCTGAGATATCTGCGTCTGCAGCGTGCGGCGCGGGTTGTCGAAGAGGTCCTGCCGACTGCGATTGTGACCCTGCAACTGGGCGCTTTCCAAGGACACGCGGTTCAATCGCACCGACTGTCCGTTGGCCGTTCCACTGCCGTTCGCACTGCCATTGAGTCCTGTCGTCGTGGTGGCCATGGAGGTCATCGTGGTTCGCACGCTATCCTGTGGGAGGAAAACAAGGATTCAATGTAATGAGAAAGGAAAGAGGTGGAGTTTAAGGATAAGCAGTATTGAAAAATGTGAGAATATAATAAGCCTTAAAACAAATTACTTTTGATTTATTTCATTGTTTTATTTATTAGTGTATATTTACTGAAACTTTTTACTGATTTTATTCGTAGGATATCAGTATAGATACCATATGTATACAAATTTTTCTCAATAAACTTACCGTTGTATGCAATCGCAAAGAGCCCGTCTGATTTCGTCTTAAAGCGCTGTATGTATGAGGCAATCCCCTTCCTGGATTTTTGCCACCCAGTCCAAAGTGTCTAGCCAAGGTAACCTACAAAAATTTCAAAGAAAATTATAAAATCACATATGAAGTGCGGTAAATTTTCATAAGAATGTATGTTTCTGTTCTGAGAAATTCAACAAAGAGCTACTTATACAAAAGTTTTCCCAACCTGGTTACAAGTATTTTTCAAGAAGTTTAATAAATTCATATTAAATTCACCTTAAAGCATAAACAATTATTTCTAAGAATCAAGAAATTATTTCTCCGAAATTAAAATTCCAAGCTTATAGTTAAGCCCAGTGGAATTATTTTCCGTAATGAAAACTCACCTTGAATGCCTCACGGAACTTGTGGCTCATGATGTTGTAGAGCAGCGGGTTGATGCACGTGGAGAGGAAGTAGAGCACTCCGGACGTGTAGTCAAGGATGCTGAACACGTCGTTAAACCACTTGGACTCGATGCCCGACGAGGAGCCGTAGACCGCCATGAGACGCTGAGCGTGGAATGGAGCCCAGCAGATGAAGAAGGCCACTGCCACGGCGACTATAAAAAATTGAAAACAAAAGGGTTATGGCCATGGGTTATCCCTTAGATACCATCGCCAGCTTACCCAGCATCCGGATGACTCTGGTCTGGGCACTGATGCCCCGGTTCACGTCGTAACATCGCCTGGGAAGCGCCTGGAGGAGCCGACTCCTCTTCAACTTCACCCCGATGAGGACGTAGAGCACGCAGATGGCAGTCATGGGTCCGCCGAAGAACAGGAAGCCAGACACGGCGAACACATGGGCGAAAAAGTCGTTTTTCATCTGCAACAGACACTTTAGAGAATAAATAACCCTGCGATACGGTTGTGGCCCACAGCCAAAGCCGGAAGGCCAAGGCTGTAAATTTGATTACCCTGAATTGAGTCAGCCATCGTAAAAGATTGTCACTGATTGATCACGAGGCGGTGGGAAAATTTAACAGAGTCACGTGGCTCTTGGGAAAAGATCTAAGGAATTTCTGTTTACCATGCATTATTAAACTCTTCATTCAAGTTAAATGTTCCTTCCATTAGGTTTATAAACTCTTGTTTAAAGAGAGCGAACTGAATTAAACTTTTTCCTTATTAGAATTCAGAAAACCTTTTATCAAATTTATTATGTACATTTAAATTACAAGTTACCAAGTTTGTTTATCCAAATAATGGAAATAAAATGTATGAAATGTATTTAAATTGTTTTGTTTATGGATTTAATACCTTTAGCTATTTGATTTTCTAATCAAGCATTTATTTTGAATGTTATCAATTTAAGTTGAATGGCTTTAAGGGTCAGCCACCTTAAGGGCTAGGCTCTCCTATTTTCCTTTGTACACCCACTCAATAACTCAATTAACCGGCTCACTCCCAAAAGTGGGAAGGCGATTAAGTGGCTCGCATCAATCATACGCACCGTGCACGATGTCCCCATGCCCTGCAACACCACTGAGAACTGAATGGCTTGGGGAAGGGCCAGCAAAAGGGCCGCAATCCAGATGGCAAATATGAACTTCACGGCCCGTGACAACTTGGACATCGTGTGCTGCCTGTATTGTGAGCAGAACCAATTAGCCAAGTTCGGGGAAAAACTGAAATTGAAATTGAACGGATGTCCGATTCCCGCTTACCTGAAAGGATGGCAGATGGCAATATATCTCTCCACGGTGAAAGCGGTAATTGTCAGAACGGTTGCATTGGCAGCAGTTTCCGAAAGGACACTCTCCAATATGCAGATGCTGTCGCTGAAGGGATAATTGTCCGGGTGCCAAAGGTTGTACAGGTCTTGGGGCATGCCTACTCAAAGTACGGAAAAATATACACAAGTATTTACAGACCATTCAACGAAATTGTGCAAGCAAATATTTATACGTCTTATTTGTCCAGTTTAATGTTTACAAGAGCAGTTCCCAGTATTTCGTTTAAACGAAAGAATAAGCCAAATAAAGCAAAAGAATTTTATAAAGTCATATTTGGTATGTATAACTTTAAAGATATTTTTGAAAAGAATAAATACATTGTTCATCTAAAGAGGCAAAGACAAAATGCACGAAAACCGGATTGATAGCAATTATTGAATGAAAAAAAGCATAACTGAACTGTTGAATATCCATAAGAAAATAAAATATATATAAAAAAGAGCTGATAACCATCGATATCTATACAAATAAAAGCTTGACCATCTGTCGTTTATCTCACAGTGCAAAAACACTACTTTCTCATTCAGAATGATAACATCAACATAATCTGCTCATTTCTATTTAATGTATAAAATCGGGTTTTAATATTTGCGCACATTGAATTAAACTCGTTGTGATGAAATTGAATTGGATTGCTCACCTGAGCACAGCAGGATCATGTCGGATATGGCCAGATTAAACAGGTAAAAGTTGGTGGCCGTGTGCATGAAATTGTTCCGCGAGATGACGATGCAGGTGATGAGGTTGCCCAGAACGCCGGCGATGAAGATGAGGGAGTAGCCCACGGTGAGGGTCGCCAGCAGGGAGAGCGGGGTCATCGGGGTCACCGTGGGCAGCAGCTCCTCCGGCTCCAAGCCCTGAAGCAGGCTGGTCAGGTTGTCCGCCGAGATGTTTAGCACTTGGGTCAGATTCAGAAGGAATTTCTCATTGTGAAACAGTTGCAGATCGGTTGCCAGGATACCGGAACTGTTACTGGGCAGCATTTTCACTGCCATGTGTGTGTGTGTGTGTGTAGTGTGTGCTTTTGTGTGTTGTTCGGTTCTTTGGGTTTCCCAGGTGTGTGCGCACTATTAATTTCGAATTTCTCCGCGGGCTTTAGGCCGCTGTTTGTGTATTTTCAATCGAATAATGTTTTCATAATGCCCCTTACGGGGGCTCATCAATTTCGACTTAGGCCAGTGCCACTCCACACACAACCTGTCGTCATGAGTTTAGGATTAAATTCTGTGTGCAGATGTGTAAGATTGGGGTGGACCCTAATCTATCTACATATATTCAAATTTGAAAATAAATTTTAACTTTGTTTCCAAATATTTAAATAGATTTCAGTAATGAAATTATAATAGAACTAAAATGTTTACATTTATCTTTATTTGCTTCAGCGCTATAAAATAATTTAAAATGTTCTGTTTACATTTAAATTCTCTTGGTTATATTAGTGAGTCACCTTTGAATAAAATGGATTTAATTAGATGGCTATAAAATCGTTGATTTCTAAATCTTTCTCGTTGTGTTAAGAATACAGAACAAATGTGGCTTAAATGTCATCTAAATTTGTTAAGTTCAACAGAAGAAAATATTCAGTAGTTATACCCCAACAAAATAAAAGACATTCAAATTTACATAAAATAAATTACCCATTTAGCATTTAAAAAGAATCGTTTTTTTTTATGACCTGTCTAAATAAATTAAAAATAACATGACCATTTACAGCTCCGTTATATACGCGCTTTTAAATGTTGGAATTTCGTTAGCTAAAAGTTTGAAATTCGTTAACTAAATGCCGCTTCCGCTAATTTGATTTCAATTTACATGCTCCATTTAACCGCTTAAATTGTGAAAACTTTTGTTAAAGTAAACTTTTCTGACTGATAAGGTCCACCCCAGTGTACGTGTCTTAAAGTGAGCTCGTGTCCTGTTTACCTGGCATCCTGAGAAGCTGGCAGGCGGCAGTCAGGCGTGTCCTAGGCGAAAGACCAGGCTCAGGGCAAGTGGAAGCTGGAAATTAATTTGAATTGCTAAGTGGCATTTAGTCAAAATATTTGTAAACACGGGATGAATTTAAGGATGTTGCCACAGGGCTCTGGATGCCACACGCCACACCCAACACCCAGCACCTGGTGGCAAACAAATTAAACGTGCCCGAAACTCAAGGTCGGATGGTCGACTCCCTTTTGGGCATCGGGTGACTTAATAACATTAACATTGTTTTATTCCATTGATGATGAGTGTTTTCGGCTGCTTTTATTCGCATTTTGGCCATATTTTTTGTTGTTATTGTTGCTGCTGAGCAGCGTTTGTTGACTGTATTTGGCCGTTTTCATTATCATTATCATAAAAAAGTTTCTACAATATATGCACGGCCAAAAGAATGCTGTCGAATTTGGTTTTATTATATTGTATATTCAATCAAACTGGTTTTCATTTTTTCATTTTTCTGTTTTCGTTTCGGTGTCCGATGTCTGATGTCCGATTCCGATTTTGATGTTCGACCGCGTAGCATCCCACCGAAAATTATGCACCCGCCCATGTTTGTATTTTGTTTATTGTTATTTTGGAGTCGCTTTGCATAAAGCATGTTATTAGTTATTATGGATTCTGCACCATTAGTGTTTCGGGTCAATGGATTTCACTTGGCAATCTTGAGATCTCTCGGCCACGATAATGCCTTATTTATAATCAACTTGTTTACAACTGTTTCGCCGCTCCTGTTCGGAACTTTTCACTTCGCCTAATGACAATTAATTATATTTTTCGCATTCGGATGGGCTATCGTTTGTGCATTTAAAACACGTTTAATTTAAATTTATCAAACGATGCCTGCCACAATACTCGGAATGCATTTATATTTTATGACTTTGAACTGTTTTGATTTTGTCACTTTGTATTCTCGCATTTGCGATCGTTGCACTCGGTACTCCCCCCTTTCTTTCACTCACTTTCTCCCCCACTTTTTTTTTGGTTTTTGGGTATATTATTGCACTACAGCTAATCGGTTTTTACCATGTGCTAAGTGTTGATTAATGGCCACGAGATGTCGAAGTTAATTAAGCGAACGCTCGCAATTAATGGAGTTAACTATTTGCGTATGGCACTGATTAATTCTGGTACGTAATATAATGTTTCTCACAATCGAAAATAATGACTAAGAAAACACGCGTAAATCGCTGGATTTCCCGTTTTCTTGATTTGCTCGTCTTCGATAATTTCAAATAAAAGAGCAACGGCGGCGACAGCAGCAACGGGCCGCAGCTTCCGACTGACTGGGTTTTTGGCCAAAAAATCTTGGCAACGGCCGTTCGTGCCATCCCGCTAACAGCGACGCAACAGAGACGCCGACGGCGCTGCCGACGCTGGCAGAGCACAACTACCGGTTGCTTTTCGCCGCTTTTCGGCTCTCTGCGTCGGCGCTTTGCGGCTTATTTCTTTCTTATATGGAGGGTTCCCCGGCAAAAGGGTAATAAAAATGCAAATAATATCGGAGTACCATGCAGTTTATCTTATTTAGTGGCGTATTAATTTGCCTCGGGCGGCAAATTGTTTGATTATTATGTTAACATAGCTAAAGGACAATGCAAACGGTGACCTTGACGCCCACTTAAACTGCCGCTAAGGCCAAAGCGGTTATTCATTTAAGTCAAGGCGGCTCGGAAAAGGTAAAGAGGTCACTTAAGGAGTGAGTCAAGAATTTATAAAAATTGCCTTTGTTTCCGAAGGCAAATAGGGCAAGGAATTTGCTTAATTTTGTACAAAGCATTTCCTTTAAATTGTTTACATAAGCCCTATTCATTTAAAAGATTAATCAAGTCATCATTCACAGTCTGAATATAATTTTTTAAATACACTAAAGATTTAAATTTAGAGAAATGCAGAAAGGCTTACATTTAAGAGAAAAGAATTTATAAATCGGTATCTTCCCTAATAACATAAAAATAAATCCTGTACCCAACGAAATGCACTCAATTTCATGATAGTGCTTTTTTTATCCTGCTACGTTGTACCGAGGCCAACTAAATTGCTTAAAATTAATTTGTGAACCACTTTGTACGCCGTTGAGCCCCAGCCATCAAGTCAGGGAATTGTACATGATGCCGTGGTTTTATGATCAGTCAAAGGAAGATTTTATTAGTCCCCTGGGGCCTTATTTTTATGGCCATGTGCTGGGAAAATCTATCAGAGCTTTGCGGCTCATAAAATGCGTTTTTTTTTCCTATCCCAGCGGCTAGTGCGATATTAAGAGCAAACAAATGTAGCAATATATGTACAGTATCTATTTGCGGCAATGTGTACCAGGCGCATAGAAAATCGAATTGCGGGACAAACAAATCAAATTCAGTCCATGCATTCAATTTCTCAATTTTTATGCAAATAATACGAAACAATTTTTTGGCACTTAATCAAAACAAAGTCCTAAACAAACATCAAAAGTAGGAGGGGTAAAGAGGGGAGGGGTGTAAAATCTAGAGTGTGAGTTGGCCTTTCTTTGTCAAAGGCCCTTCTCCATTTCCCTCTTAATCTCCGGAACGAGAGTCTCATGAATTCGAAAGGCAGGCAAAATACGGAGCACGTGCTGCAAAGGCATTCGTAGTCAAAACTTTGCCTGCCAATTGTTGACGAAACCCGGGAAAAAAGGCCAATGGAAATGGGGAAAATTCATAGATGCGGGTGTGGGTGTGAGATTTTCGTTTGCTTTGACTTGCTCTTTATGAACACTGGGCATGACATCAGATTCGGGGACAAGCTCTTGTTTGACATTTTGAAGTTTCGCCTCGGAGCAAAAGTCTGTCATCGGGCGACGGCGGCATCCTCGTCAGCAGTTTAGTTGAATTTTTGTGCAAGTTTCCAATTCATTTAGTTTTATTGCACGCATAAAGGGCAAGCCGAAAGTCATTTGCAGTTCGACCAACCCGTTTGCCACTAGCTCACCGCTTTCCCTAACTTCCACCTAAGTACAGTCAATATTATATTAGAGTTGGGGTCTCTGCAAAATAATATATGAAAGGGATCTGGCAGGGAAAGATAGTGATATTAGCAGGAAATTTTAAATGAATTCTGGTTCTATGCGTTTAGAAATAGGTGTGCAATAATTAAATGTAACTTTATTTGACGGTAACTGCTTTATATTGTATGGGCTATCATTTTGCACAACAAATGTAGTTGCAAGTACTATTTGATTGGTTGTTTATTGCTTTGAATTTAATATTGTTTCCTTTTTTTCGAACAGTCAAATAGTTGGAATTTTATTCATGCAAAAATCAATCGTTTTAATATAACACAAGATTTTATAGCCATTTGATATTTGGTTTTTTAAAGCTTTACAATTTTATGTTTATTTTTATGAAAGGCAAATGATTCAAAAATTGTTTAGTGCTCTGTATGAATTTATAGTTCATACTATTATAAGTTGATTTTAGTGCTTCACTGCATAATTTATATTTGGTTTGGCATAAATATATTTAACTTTTTTGTAGATCTCCTATTTCTAAGATTCCTTTGTCAGAGTATCGAAACTTCACTTCTAAGCTTAAGCTTACCTTGCTCAACAGCAATTTATTGAACTCTGGCACGCGCTCAACAAGTCGTTGACAAAATTTCAGAGCTCGTGGCTAATTGTGGCCATCGATTGGCCAAATGAAGCCAAACTGCCAAACTGGCACATGAACTGCACAGCCTTTCAAATAATTGGATTCCCGACAAAAAATAAAAGAGGTGTGCGTGCTGGCGCGGGGTTCATTTGGTTAAAAGCCCGGCAGTCGACCTCATCGGCATGCCAAGATGCCCAATTTGAGCAAGAAAGTGGAGCACTTCCCATAAACTTCGGCCAACGGGTTGTATGAGTAATGCGAGTTGAGCCGAAAGCGTGGGCTTCTGGATATCAACTACTTACGTTTATCGTACGTAAGGGGATACTTTCGTCCCGGGGGAATAGTTCAATGCTCGACAAAAGGCCAAAGACACCCGTATTTAGTTTAATTGCACTTAATTAGCCGCATCTCAAGTAACATGAGGCATTAAAAAGTGATTTGAGTCGCATTTGCATTGTCCCGATTTCGGCATCGTTCATCAAGTCAACCAGCTAATCAGTGTCCTCGCTTGCGGTTAGAACATTATCATTGTCGTTTCATTGCAGTCGTAAATTAAGGGAGATTCCCAGAACAGGACCAACTGCTGTGCCCTCAAAGCTGCGGTCGACCCTTTTCGATTAGGATCTGAATCTGATTCTGGGAATATTTTGTCTCTCGGTCGGAGGTCCACATGTGTGTCAAAAGGCATTATGCTAATCAGCGTCAACCGCCGGCCGATTGAATCATTCGGTATCGCCGAAACACACAAACTGTTGGGACAACGTGGCGGATACGCAACTTGTAAAGGTCAGTGCGAAAAGCAGGAATATTGATTGTCCTGACGCTTTCATTATTTACCCCGAACAGGAAGGATCTCATGAATAATCTAGGGAATCGCCTTTTAGATTGCGGACAGCGATTATTTGGGGCAACATTAATTTTACGCGCGTTTAATCGCATTTACGGCAGATCAAAGTGCGTGAAAACGGGAATCTGTTTCGGATGTGATTGATACACAGAAAATAAACTGAGATGATTTAAATATTGTACATTTAAAAATATATCTTACAAATAAGAGAAACAAATTGAGTCAACATGTAACAAAGTCCTTTTTAATAAAATGAATTTAAAACTCGTGAAACGTTTGAATGTTAAGTAATGGGTTTTACAAATATTTAAACAGTTTTCTGAAGTTTAACATACCAGATAAATCATTTGGCATGGTATGTGTTAAGATATTTTCCGTGTATATTCGGTTTAGCAACGTCCAAATTATAGAGATATAGAGAAAAACCCAACTCGTGCGGCTGAATTTCGACTGTGGCCACTCGTGTAGGGAGAATAACTTCATAAAATCTTTTATCCCAGCCGCAGGCGCTTTCTTAATATCCAAAGGCTCTTAGCGAGCCCCGAAGCCCAGATTGTGGTCACGCTCCAGCAATTGTGCATATTTACCGCGACCAGACAACCATGCTAAATTAGACTGAAAACTCTTCAGAGAGGCGTGTTCCCCACCCACCGACTGGCTTTTGCTTATGGCCAAACACAACAAGCCGGTCCGATTTAATGGCTGGCCCAAGGCGAGCAGAAAACCAGAAGGGAGAATAATGAAAACAAATCCACAAATCTGCGGACAAGGGCCGACATTAATATGCGGTTTCGCCTCCTGAAAGGCAAGGGGGAAAATCGGGCCTCGTGTCTTGCAAAACAAACCCATTCATTTACGTAGTTTACGGTCTTAAAACGGCTTTGATTTCTCATTTTCCCCAGCTTGTTCCGAGGTTCCGATAGAGCAAAATAATTGAGGCGGGCGGGCGGCAGCCTTGGCCAATAAATATTAAAAGTAAGTGGTAGTGCTTTCGGGCCATTTACAATTTCAATTAGTACCGCGCAACTCGACATTCAATTGGATCGACTGCCGTTTATGGCCACGTTCTACAGCCAGCTGACTGTGGCATTACTCATCCGACAAGTAAGACATAACTTACGGAGACGTCACGGTGGCAAAGTCAAGGTGAAGTGCATGAATTTATGAATGAAATTAAGACCGAATGTTTGCGTATCGCACACAGACGCAAGTTGAGAGAGGAAAAGGCAACAAAAGGCCAAGAACTGCTGTTAGTTAACAGTGGGCTAACAGAGACCGTCGACGAGTGCTTCGATTGCCGCAAGGCAACTCAGTCTGCCACCGACTTTGCTCCACTTCGGACGTGTTTGAGCTACAAAAGATCCCTGATTCAAATATATTCAAATCAGAAGTCCGTTAAAGTGATACCAAATTTAATAACCAAGTGTTAATTAATTTAAATTAAATTTATAAATTAAATTTAGGTTATTCGAAGTGTTACTGCATTTTATGCTAATCCCTAATCAAATATTATACCCTCATTAAATATCCCTTCGTTAAAAATGTCTTACTGATTGCCCAACAAAGTGCAAAACTAATTTTCCGTTCAGTGAATTCGAGTTAACAAAAGCAAAAAGGGTTAAAATACCCGACGCGGAAGTCCTGAAAAAAGAAACACACCTTTTGCGGCACAAATAGGAACAAGGATACGCCTTCCAGAAAGGACACAATACGCGCAGCAAGAGTAAATACGCTTTTGTTATTTAATCTAGCCTTGGTAAGAATCAACATGTCGACTGTTCGGTTCTCAGAATTTTAAAACCCTGATTTTCCGAAATGCTGCCCCTTTGGTAGCCGCAAAGTTTAATTGAAAAATGTTAAGGCGTTCCTCCAATTGAAGCCGAGCACCTGGGCAATGCAACTGGACTGCGGTTTAAACTTGTTCGGCAAATGAAACTGAAATTGAATTTGCAACCCTAATATGGTCCGCTTGGCATTGCTTTTGCTGATTGGGTTGTGTAATTGCGATCGAGTCGCACATTTGTACTCCGACTCCAATCCCTGGTTTCTGCCCAATCATATCTAAATCAACTCTCACACCTGAGCTGGCAATTCAATTATTTTTCCAATTAGTTTGCGTCAATAAGATGTCATCGAGTGGCTGGCCACTTCGAAATCCATGTTCCCCCTTTTTTCTGCGTAGCATACTTTCCGGTGTCTTTTTAAACGCTTCTCGGCGAGTTTCTTTGACTTGGAGAAACGCTTAACGAACAGGAAACATAATTAATTAGGCGCATCAACTAAAAATCTGGCTCAAAGCCAATAATCCAACTTGGCATTAACAGTGACTCGGTGTTTGGTGTTTGGTGTTCGTTGTTCTCTAACTTGGCCTTTGACTTCTAACCCCTAAATTCGGTTTTCGGCAGGCAAAAACACAAATTCAGAAAGCGTTGGCGGGATAATGAGTGAAATACAACACGTCATGTTCGCTTCCTGTTCTCCTTTAAAGTACCGCATGTGCTGGGATCCCTAATGGGACCTAAATGACTTTTGTGGGTAGCAAAGTTTCCCTTTTTTCCAGGACCCCGAAAAACTTTCCCACACATGCAATCAGGTTTCGTTTCACTCATCACGCCTAACACCGAGCAAATAGAAAAACTTTTTCATCCACAACTATATTTGTATTGATTGCTGGCAATCTGTATTCCTGGGGCTTAAGATGTTTACTATTAATAGAGACAAGTGGCAAGTGACATGTGGCCTACAGAAGAAAAAATAAAGAAGCATTAATTGCGTATTAATACTAATATAACTTACATAAATTAAACCTAAACTAGGAAGTGTACGCAAAATTACAATTTATAGGAAAAGAATTGCTGAATTCATGCTTTAAAAATAAACTTACTATAGAAACTTAAAAGATTATTGGATGTTCAGTCATTAAAATTGATTTACAATATAAAAAAAGGCTGCTGTTATTTTGGTAATTGATTTTGTTAAAATCTTTACATCAGATATTGTACCCCAGAAGTTTTACCTTTTCTCAACAATTTATAGTTTCTTTCTCTGCACATTTACATTGCCAGATGTTCACTATAAATAAACAGAGCCAAAAAGCAAATGACAAGTGCCACTAGTCAAGTGTTTTTTTTATTTCGGGATTAATGCGCAGTTTCCCAGTCGAGTCCTTTGGCCACCTGATGCCGTATCTTAGAATGCCACATAGGCCTGTCTGACTGACTGGGTTGGATTCAATTTAAATTCAGCCCTGAGTCTAATGACTTTTAATGTTGTTTGCTTCACAGGCGAGTGCGCAATTTTTGGGCCTGTCGTCGACTGCTTATCGGCCATGTGCCGCCGCAGTGGCAAAGGATCCGCCAGACAGTATTAATAACGCATTGATAGGAGGAGCAGCCCGCCTGCGATTCGGTTCAGCTTTGTTTTTCTATTTTTTGTTGTTTTTGTTTTTGTTATTTTTTGGGTTTTCTGTGGTAGCAAGATTGAGTTCGGGACTCGATCCGAAGTCCGCAATTAATCGACGACAGCTAGCATGTTGCAAGGCGTCGCCATCGCCATCGCCAACGACAGCAACGATGATGGCCTCAATCAATCATTCAGGGCTCATGTGTCGCCCAGTGCCAATCGGGAGGTGGCCCAAGCCACGGCCACCACTTCCACCATTTCCACCATGGTGAATCCCAGCGAAAGCCCCGAGCTGTTGCTGCTGCGGAATGACAAATTCCTAACACATGTCGCCCATCTGCTGAACATAACGACCGAGAACCTCTCGAATCTCCTTGGCTCCACGAACGGCACAAATGCCAGCACAATGGCAGCAGCGGATCCATCGGTCGACGAGTCCCTGACTCTTCGTACCGCCTTTACTATTTGCTATGCCCTCATTTTTGTTGCTGGAGTTCTGGGTAATCTGATCACCTGCATTGTGATATCGCGGAATAACTTCATGCACACAGCCACAAACTTTTATTTATTCAACCTGGCTGTTTCCGATCTGATATTGTTGGTCTCAGGTGAGCTTATAGTTTCGTGAGACAACGGTGCGTATGCGTAACGTATCGAGTATCCTGCAGGAATTCCCCAGGAGCTGTACAACCTTTGGTATCCGGACATGTATCCCTTCACGGACGCCATGTGCATCATGGGCAGTGTCCTGTCGGAAATGGCCGCCAATGCAACGGTCCTTACAATCACAGCCTTCACTGTAGAGCGATACATCGCCATCTGTCATCCCTTTCGGTAAGTCTTAAACACACAGTAAATAAATATTGATTTTTGGTTAAATGTTCAGCTTGAACTGCTAACTGATTTTCTCAGTGATACCATCGAGTTCGCTTTCATTAACAAAGTGGATCACGCATAAATAGGACAGACGTATGATAAATAGATAAATAAAACCTGATACGCGTCAGACATAAACGCAACCAAACACAACACTAATGATAAGCCCAATAATTATTTATAATTAAACAGCCGGGTTGTGAAGTGATAAAACAAGTCAGGCTTGACAACCAAATTCACATCGCTTTTAGATAATGATGCAAGCCCATTGCCTATTATTTATTGACAGTAATTAGTAGTTGGCTCCACAAATATTCTGATTTCATTAGGTTTGCAATTAGCTGTTTGAGTTTCAATTGGTTTAAAACGAGGAACATTTTAGTTAGTATCCCCCAAATACTTCAAGTAGTAGTACAGTTCTAATATTGTTTCTAAAATTTACTAACTTCAATTCTTTTAGCACAAGCTTACATATTTTGGTCTGGTGATATTATGGTCTTAAGTAACAAATGTTTTTTTAAACGAAAATGTCTGGACTCCATTCAAGTTTTTCGGGTTTCACCTTCCAGCCGACCCTATATTAACTTTCCTTTGAAATTTTCCACAAACTTGCGAAATAAATGAATTCAATCAGTTGCAGAATGTCCTTAGGAAAAGCCAGACTTAAGAGGATGGGATGACCAAAAGAAGGCATTCCAATGCCGATTATAAAGTTAGAAAGTCCCTCTTTTGAGAAGTTTAAATAACAATTGATACCATTTTACTGGGTTGGTTATTTAATATTTATTTGTTCAAACCAAAAGTTAAGTCGGTACCCGAATTTTTCAACAAAATGAAATCAAGTGGTTATTGAGGTTGCTTTGCTCTTGATTTTTCATTCAAATGCTACAATATTCTCTTTTCAAGCTTTTCTTGTCAAGCTAGAATTATTATCATTTAACATTTTGAAGAATTCTTATTTTCTTTTCAATCTATTTATACTCGATATATTTGCGAGTTTATTTTAAGTATCATCTGCCAATCATCTCATTTTTCAAAGAAAGACAATAAATCAGGCTATAAATAAATTCCCTCACAGAGTTTTTGTTACCCACTGTAAAAAGCCGCATTTTAAGTAAATATTTATATAGCATTAAATATTCAAGGCAGAAGGAGCAGGCTGAAAGAAAGTGGTTAAAATGTGGTGTATGGTCAGAGTCGGGATTTTAGAGCCCTGTCGTTGTTAATCTCATATCTGCCCACGCTTGGCGGAAACATTTACATCTCCCGACTTCCCACCAATACTTAACATATAATGTGGCCTAATCTTTCCGTCATTTGTAGGCAGCACACCATGTCAAAATTGTCGCGGGCCATTAAATTTATATTCGCCATTTGGCTGGCGGCCTTCCTTTTGGCCTTGCCCCAAGCCATGCAATTTTCGGTGGTCTTCCAGAACGACGGTTACTCCTGTACGGTACGTATTCCAGATCCTAAAAAAAAAATAAAACATAAAAAACCAACTGACGCATCATCGGGTGTCCCTCTTTTTTTCTATTTCATTTTCCTTAGATGGAGAACGACTTTTATGCCCATGTGTTTGCCGTCTCGGGATTTATTTTCTTCGGCGGACCCATGACGGCGATTTGTGTCCTTTACGTGCTGATCGGAGTGAAGCTGAAGAGGAGTCGCCTGCTGCAATCGCTGCCGCGGAGGACATACGATGCCAATCGAGGACTCAATGCCCAGGGACGAGTCATCAGAATGTTGGGTAGGTGAGTTGAGTTGGCGGCTTGATTGATTAAAGACAACAGCCCCACCAACAACAACAACAACAACAAACACCAAAAACAACACAGCCTGTCAAAACTTTTCTCGCCGAAAGTCTTAAATTGAAAATTACTGTCAACATATTTGCGTGGGCGACATCAAACAGGGGATTCGTCACAGCCCCGCCCCCTTTTCTTTCCGCCTCCTTTCATTTTCACTTTCACCATGTGGGTTGAATGTGCTTCAGTGAGTGTTTCCTTTTTTCCGCGGGGTCGTTAATTTTCGCCAGCATCTGTGGATGTGTGTGTGGCAAGCTCTTAAATGGCCATCTAGCGCATGAAGCAAAGGTGAAACCAGGTGGCACCTCAAAAGTAATCAAGTCAGGCCACTCAAACGAACTCAAGCCTGCGGGGTATGAACAACGAACTCGAATGAGTGGAAGAATGGCACTTGTATATTAAACAGCAATATATTTAAATAACATCAATGTTTTAATTAAGCTAACCACTTAGCTGATTGCTCATATTACAGTAAAGTGTTAGTTAATCGATTATAACAAAATGTATTCCCTGAGAAACATTCTAAGTAAAGATTTTGAAGAGGAATTGAAAACATTTGGGATATATTTCCAAACAATTTGTTCTTAGTTAATTAAAATATTCTAAATGAAAATAATAATCTTACGACTCACTGATTGGTAATCAAACTCCCTTTTGATGCCTTAGCTAATTTTTAAAAGTGTAGCAGAAGCAGAATTTCAAGTATTTAAAGTACAATTTTCCATTGCTGCCTAGAAAACGACCCTCAATTTGACGTGGCTTTTAACTGAAAACCACAGCCCATTGATGCTTTAGTTTACCATTGCCCTTGCTCTGCTAAATGAAAATTGATAGGGGGAAAAGCCAGCTCAGGTTAAGCCTCAGGCCTTTATAATAAATTAATTTGGTTGGCAGGAGGAAAAAAAAAAAATTATGAAAAGGCAGTATTCCTTTTAATCGGCACATAACAAAAATAAATTATTTTTTATCAGGCATACAGGTTGTTTTATCTAAATGATAGGATATCGAGCCAAAGAGCCTTAATGGAATGATGGCCCAAACTATTCGATTAAAGGGGATATAAAAGCGAAGTGGGGATGGCCATATTGTTTGTGTTACCGATTTGTTCAGGGTAGTTAATTCGGTCTTTATCCTTGCCCGTTTTTGCAGTAGCTGTAGCCGTCGCCTTCTTCCTCTGCTGGGCTCCCTTCCACGCCCAGCGATTGATGGCCGTTTACGGGTTGAACCTGATTAATATCGGCATCAGCCGGGACGCCTTCAACGACTACTTCCGGATACTTGACTACACGTCCGGGGTGCTCTACTTCCTGTCCACCTGCATCAACCCGCTGCTCTACAACATCATGAGCCACAAGTTCCGAGAGGCCTTCAAGGTGAGTCTAGGATTAATTCCCCAAACCCAGATTTACCCTTTTCTAACAAATGAATGTATAAGTAAACAGCTAAGTCTTGAATATCCTAAAGCAACTTTAAAGTTATGTTTGTTGAAGTAATGTTCCGAATGTAGAAAGTGGTTTTGTTTACCACTATTAAAGTTTAAAGGATTAGGTTCTACCTCAAAGCAAGTAAAGAATTAAAAAACAGCTTACTACTTTACTTTAACTTTCAATACATGTATAATTATGATTTTTTATTTCAAGCTTTAAAACTATTTTTATGCAACAAAATGTGATAAAATGTTTATTGGTGTTACGAATTAAAACCTTCTATTACTTATATTATTCCATGTTGTTGTTGTTCTTTATTTCGTCTGTAGATCACTCTGACAAGACAGTTCGGGTTGGCGAGGAACCACCACCACCAGCAGAGCCAGCACCACCAGCACAACTACAGTGCGCTACTCCGGCAGAATGGATCGATGCGATTGCAGCCTGCCAGCTGTAGTGTGAACAACAACGCACTGGAACCCTACGGATCCTATCGAGTGGTGCAGTTCCGCTGCCGAGATGCGAACCACCAGTTGTCGCTGCAGGACAGCATTCGCACCACCACCACCACGACCACGATAAACAGCGCCAGCCTGGCGGGAAACGGAGTGGGTGGCGGTGGTGGAGGACGTCGTCTGAGGAAGCAGGAGTTCTATGGCCCTATTCCGGGCACCGCCGTTCCACATCGGATGCTGCAGGCCCAGGTTTCGCAGCTCTCCTCGCTGGGCGATGCCAACTCGCTCCTGGAATCAGAAGTGGTCGATAGACACTACGCTTCTGGCCGGGCCAAGCGAGCACTTTTGGCCACCAAAAGTGGTGCACTGCTGGTGACACCACCGCAAAATGCCGACGCATCGGAAGTCAGTCAACCTGCCACTCGACTTAAGTTGACGCGGGTGATAAGTCGCCGGGATGAGGTCACCAGTGCAGGGACTCCGCCCTTTTGTGGCAGTCACAGCTTGCCGGATCCGGAGACTTGTCAATCTGTGGCCTCGGTGGCAAGCCGAAGTTCACGAAAGTTTCCCTGGCGGAAGAGGAGGCAGAAAACCGAGGAGCCGAGCAGCGAGGTTCTGGCCTATGGGTCACCCAAATCCCAGTGACTCCAGCTGGCCAATAGATAGGCATTGTTTAGTTAGCGCAATAAACTTTTCGATCTGTAAATAAGCCATGGCAAAGAGCAACGAGCGATTTGCATGCAAATTCCATTTTGGCCATAAAAAAAAGATAGAACGAATGGGCAGGGTCCAGACGATTTATGCGAGGCATAAAGCCGGGCTAATGAGGCATCAAAGTGTCCTAGCGAATTGCGATGGCCACCGCATCGCACTCATAAATTAAGTGTTAAGTGTTGGGCTACCAGAAAAAATAATGTTAATAAATAAAGAATGCTGGCAACACAGATTACAGCAAAATCCTTTCAACCGTGTTCTTTTCTTCTACATAATGCATGCCAGAAACATTCAACTTCCTCTGCATTCCGATATGCCTTCAGGCACTGAATCGAATGGAAAATCGTCAAAGGAACAAAACAGGTGGCATCTCGGCTTTTTCTGGTGCACTGTTTCCAAGCAATCTGTTCGTGCTTTTTGCGACATTTTCCCTGCAGATTGGCAGGCATTCTGTTGCCTTGCCACTGCAAAAACCAATAGTGCTAAAAGAAAATACGGAAAACAAACAGATTGGAAAAGCAAGTGTCATTAGAGCGTGTGCACTTTTACCAGCCAAGCGAACTGAAAGGTTGCATTTTGAAACAAGAACCCTAAGTGGAGTCTTAGGTTAAGCTGAAGTAAGTGGCAAAAGAAAGAGATTTATTTACTCCACCATCAACTAGTTTCTTCAGAAGGTTGTTGAATAAATAAAATTGAGTTCATATGTCCAGAGTAGAATATAGTTTTTGCTGAGTGTAAACTGCACTTCCACCTGCTGGCAACGAAGTCGTTTCCAGTTTGCACCTGGCCAATTGTCGGGGTCCATTAGTCAAGGGGGCTTTGTAGGCAAGGAAGTCCCGATTGAAACGAATGTGCCAGGAGTGGCAAGAGTGGGCTTATCCTGCTACCAATTGGCACGTGGAGTGAATGGAGAGTGGAATTAGGACCGCAAAATAAATCAACCCAAAAGTGGCACACAAATTTAAGCGCTGTGGCTTCCGCTCCGTCTGACATTATGGCCAAACAGAATTATTAATGGCTAATAAATTCAAGTGGAAGTCAAGTCAAGCCCCAAAGTCAAGTCCTCAAAAATTCAGTAGCCAAATTGTAGCCTCTTCACCTGACTAATGAAATGAGTGAGAGGGCGGAATAATGGACTGAGGGATTGAAGTTGTCATGTGGTTTCAGCTCGTATATCAAATGGATATTTACCCATTGAATACCGCTTAGCCAAGGTCCATGTAATTCGATAGCTCCCGATGGCAGGAAACCGTGACAAAAGGCTTGCCTTTCGGGCCAATATGGACCGCCCTCCTGCTCATTCATCATCGTTGGAGGCGGCGAAGGTCTTTTGTACAAGGATTCCTTAGTTGGGAAGGATGCTGGATGGAATGAGCGGGACCTCAGTCGATAAATCGTGCGGCCTGCCGCCTAGTCAATCATAATCTGGCACAATAAAGATATTAATCAGAGCCATAAATTTACTTACGGTCTAGACAACCAGTTTAACGGCCAACAGCTCGCACAAAGCTCCTTCAAGAAGATGAAGAGTTCCCTGGATATGAATTTCCTTTGGTCCCTCTTCCCGTGTTTTCCAGCTTTAATAAGTTCGGTGGAGGAGCTCGCATATTGTCCCGGTCATTACGCACAGACATTTCAGATTACTCCTCCAGTTTATGAGCGACAAACTTTCACTTTTCAAAGCGGCAAATTCATTTTTTGTTTTCTCCCATTTAGGGGCTAAACAACAAATAACTCGGTGCTTCGGACTCTTGGACTCCGAGTGGCCACATCCATGTCCATGTGCTGATTTTAAAGCCGAAGCGCCCACACATGCATGTTGTCCGGTCATTCTCTGCTGGTCCTTGTCTGCATCTAACGAGCCAGCAAGAGCCGGACAAAAGCCGGCCCGAGTTGCTTTGAACCCATCACCGAGTTCACCCCAGGATCACAAGCAGGAAGGCACTGCGAAAAATACTTCAAAAGTCCAAAGCAGGGTTGCCTAAAATAAAACTAAAATAAATTGAAAGTTTTTGAGTACAACTAATGGTTCACAAATACTGAAATGTCTTTCGAAAACGAGTTCTAAAATAGTTTTGATCAGTTTAAAACAATATTCCTTTAAAGCAGTTTTTGTAAAAATATTATAAACTTGTATAAAAATCAAGAAATGGAAGTTCTTTAAAGTAAAATAAATTATATCTTTAGAGAGAAAATGGAGTGTCCTCAAAAATTTAATTATTCGTTTAGTTATAAATTATCAGCTTACAGATGTGTAAATGTATATATTGATATTTTCTATATAACTTTCTTAAACATTGTTTATATATTTTATTTTCAATGTAAAATTTAGTTGCTCTGAAACCGAATCCCCAACTTTTTTTATTGTTCAAATGCCAGCCTCTAAAGTTACATATTCCAACAAATTAGAATGTACAAAACGCTTCAGTTGCCGTTCAATTAAAAATTTACACAAAAATGCGGTCGAGCGGCCGAGCGAACAACTATTGTGCAAAACAGCTCGAGTATCCTTGTCGGGGGCTTCAATTAAAGTTGTGTAAACACGGTCCAAAGGACACACTTCATGGCCGACTTATGTGTTTATTTATTGTGCCCTCTCAACCCCTCCAATTCCCCTCATCTCACCACGATAAATCCGTAGCAAACAGAATGCTCGGATGTTTCGATGAACCCAATTGATTCTTTTGTTGGCATTGCCATGGGGTCAACTCTTCGATGGATGACAAATAAATATTATTTTGCTGGGTGCTGTGTGTTGCGGCTCAATCGGATTCTTATATTGTCGTGGTGCATAACCGATTACCACTTTAAATGTGGGGGCCATGTCAGAAATTTTAATTAAAGTGCGTTGGCGTACTGGTTATCCTTGGCCATCCAGAGTGGCTGAATAAGGTCGAAACTGAAGCCATTATATTTGCAGCATCTGTCTCTCGCCGCAGAACAATGCTGCAAATTAAAATAACAAGTGGCCGAAAGCCAATGGCAGTTTAAAATCCAAGCGGCTGTCAACAGCTGGCACCGCCAGTTTTTGACAGCGAGTTAGAGGCCCCGACCTCCGGTCACAGTTCAACAAACTAAAAGTGTTTGCTTTATGGCCTCCCTGTACTCGATGTACTTGAAGCCCCAGTATCCAAGTATCCCCGGATCCATCCACCCTCCAGTCGATCTCCCCTTTTTTTCGCCGAGACAAACAAAACAACATTCGCAATCCCCCGAAAGCAGACAACTTAAGATTAGCTGCGCCACAAGTCGAGAGCCAAAAATAACTCGAAATATTTCGCTCAATTGCAGTAGCCAAAACAATAAACCGTGTAGCCTTGACCATGGACATGGAGCGTTGGGCATGAACCCATCCAAGTCCCACAGCCCTCGAGTTTGTAGTGTTTTCCACGTCCTTCCTTGGAGAAGTTCACTGAGAAATATATCAGTCAATCTATTGTTATTCTAAAAGTAAAGCATGTTGCCATTGGATGAAAAACAAATATGATGAAACTAAATCGTGTCTAATCCTTCTAAGGCAATACCATGGATTCTAATTTATTCTGGCTTAAGCCGTATATAGTTACATTAACTTTATCAACTTTTTAGCTTGCAGGTATTATTAAAATTAATTTTAAAACACCTACTCTTTGTTTTTTTGAGTGTTTCTATATTTTGTTTGCATTTACCAGTGAGCTCCTCGACGAACACCCGAGGTAATTGTCCTTAAAGCGGCACTAAGAGCTGCAGGATTTTCTTGGAACTTTCCCCGAATCAAAATCAGACTTTAATCGCCCTTTTGGTGAATGTGTGTGTCTCCTGGCATCTTGTTTGCATTCTGAAACGTGTCTGAGATAATTTGTTTGGGATTTAGCGCCAACAGGCTTCCGAATTTCCCAGTTCCTCGGCATTTGTTGTTGCCTCTGAAACTACCATCGAGTTGGTCAATTGAAATTAAGCCAATTTGCATAGTTGCCATTAATTGAAGCCACTCGTGCAAGGGAACAATGCCATCGACAACTTTTTAACAGTTTCAACTGAATCTAAGTTTATTAATTAGTATTCACTTGGTAACCGGACAGTAAGACCATGGATAATAAGTAGAAAAAACATTTTGCATTTGACAAGAAAGTTAACTAAGTTTCTGTTCGGAAGCCTTCTTGTTACATTTTATTGTGTTGCCATTCAATACTTCGCTATTAACAATTAAACTTGCTTACAACGAATTCGAATGCAATTCCATTTTAATTTGATCTAAAAACACTAATTAAACCTTACTTATTCACGAATAAATTCGAATTTAAATAATTGATTTTTGAATTTAATTATCTCTGATGACCAATTTAATAGTCTGACTGTCAGTTAAGTTTATTCAGCTTCTGAATGGTGAGGAATGTGGCACAATGCCACTGAAAAATGTCTAATTACCGCAACAGTTGTGTTTTTCGGGGCATAAAAAACATTAAATTTACGCGTCAGATATTTTAATTGATAAAAAAAGCTCACAGTTTTAGTTGATTAATAAATTGATAGTATAAATTTAATTAGTTTGACAAAGAAAAATTATTTTTTGTTGTTATGGGCAAATTGGTTTTATGTTCGTAACGCCGATTAAAAATAATTTCAACAAAAGCATTTATCAAACATTATCTAGCCGTATTAACACTTTTAATACATTTAAAAGGCATCATTGATTTCACCTTTCTTTTCGGAGTATGCGACCAAAACTTTAAGCTTGTAACTCAATTAAATAATTTTCAAGGAATAAACACTTAAGCAAAGTTCAAGGATTTTCAAACTACTTCCACTTTTGTATAAGTATTCAAGGTAATCTTTCGGATTGCCGAGGATTTTGACTGAAGGCCTGGTAATTGTTTTAATTGTTACTCGAGTCAAAGTGAACATGCTTCTCAGAAGAAAGTAACCGAATTTCCCTGAAGGCAACAGTTAAGAGCACACTTGTTTCAGATGGCCAATATACAGGAGAAGTTAATACGCATTAAATGGCATTAAAGGCATGTCAGTTCGGAGGAAAACCAGAAATTTCTGTGCGGTGACTGGATACCTTAATTGCTAATAGCATAACATGTTTGTTAAAAAGGTTTCGACATGCATGTAATGAAATTTCTGTGACACAACATCCGACTTCCTTGCATAGTTTGTTTTAATTTCCGCAAAGGACCAGGAAAATTGCAAACTTTTTTGTTC